GGAATAAGAAATTCAGGTGAGGTCCAAGGATATTTTATTAAGCATTCAATTTCGAACGTTTCAAAGTTTAAAAAGGTTTTTAATAAAATTTAGTAAAGTAAAAGTTTCAATTATACACGGTTTTTCCTTAGCGAAAAATGTTGTTTCAAATCACTTCCCGAACTTCTTTCAATGCGTTACAACATTTTTGAGACACCTTGTATTCGTACAGTGGAGTCCAAGGTAAGCTCCGGAGCTTGGACAGTCCACTCTTTTCTTCATTTTGGTTATGGGTTCTACGACGCCGCAGCTTTGAGGGAGTGACACAAATAAAACGCTGAAAAATAAGGCTTTATTTAAGAATTTATTATGAACAAACGGTTCAATGAAATTATTTGAAATTTTGTACACGTGTTTTGTGTTGAGTTTATAGAGCTTAGCTAGGCAGCTACTGACTTATTCGCTCCCCTTATTTTTGCTATTGCACTTATCTTATTCCTTATTTTTTCGCCCTTGGATTTTTTCCATACTTTATATTTTTGTTAGCAAGCCCTAAAATCTCTATCCATAAAAAAGCCTGGGCGGACGCCCAAGATCTCAGCGTGATAGTCGACTACGCTACACACTGCTCCATCATCCACTACCCTCTGCTACCTCGGTTGAATAGTTATTTTATAGTGCATCGGTTTTTCGCCCATATTGCACTTATCGTGTACATTTTCCTTTTACACAACATCTGTGTTCTCTATTAAAAATTAGTTACTAGAGGGCATCAAGGAGAGTCGCCTCAAAGGTTTTTTTGAATTTTTCAACCCCTCCCGTCACCCCTGACCTTCTCCAAAGAGGCGTTTTTCTACACCCTCTCCTTTAGAGGTGTGAATTAACCACTTCACATCAACCGTCGCCAATGCAACTTTGCACACACCCAGAAGACACTTGAAAACTATTCCTCACGAAGTTTCACCGAAATCGGTTGAAAACTCTCATAATTAGTGTGCCGCTAATTTTGTCCAGTAGTTTATATGTGTATAGGTTTATATTTTCCATATTTCTAGGTTTCAGGCGATCCCTCTTCCAAAAAAGAATGCCAGTAATGTTGCCTAATCAAGAGATATTCGTAAATAGGAAACCGGATTATTATAAACCAAAGGATTTTTATATCGGAGCGCGCGTTAATTTAAACAATTTCATCTTTGAACTCATCTCAGCCGACGTTTATGCTCTTCGTTACATGGAGTTACATCGCGATAAGGTTCTATAATTCACATCCGTTTCAGTGTTTCAGTATTTTTTAAAACACATATTCTGAAATACAGATATTTCAAAATGTGTTTTCATTTATTAATTATTTTTAATTGCTAACAGTTCATTTACGTTCATTCACGTAGATAATATCAAGTTTGATATATTTATTCTATTTATTCTATTCTGATACATGATTAATGTTTATTGTTATATGTCTTTCTTTAATCGCACGTACTTACACCTTTTATTGTACAGTTTCCGCAAGCTGACGTCAGATTAATCCTGGGAAAATTACGGGAAATTTTGAAACCAGTTTACAAGGAATTTATACAACACTATACACCCGTGAAATCAATCGACGAAGATCTTTCAATACTGTCGTACGAGAAACTCAGGTATGTTGTTTTCCGCAGAATAGTTTACCTATGCGTAGTGGACGAGTTACGTTATTAAATCGAGTAAGGAATGAAAATATTCAGAATACCAGTTGATGTGGAGCTCGTCAATTCTATGCTTGATCAGTATGTAAAGTGACGATATAAAAATCAAACAAAAATTGTACATCTCGACGAGATATGAAATTGCCGTCAAATGTACTATTAACCATTACTGGATTCAAGTCTCTTTACTTTCCTGAAATGTAAAAATGGGAAATGTGCGATTTAATTGGAGCAAGCGATTTTTAAAGGTTATTTTTTAATAAAAGTATGCGAAAAGTATACATGATACTTGAAATGAAGTTGATTCATGGCGTTTGAGTTACTCATAGTAGATCAAAGTAGACGTTCGCAGATCAGAAAAATTATTTAAACAAAAATATACTGTACCTTTAACCGTTTTTCAAGGAGTTTTGATAATCCGAGTTATCTTTATTCGACGAATACAACAATTCAAAGCGTACAAAATAAAGATATTTCAAAATGTGTTTCCATTTATTAATTATTATTAATTGCTAATAGTTTTATATTCACGTAGATAATATCAAGTTTGATATATTTATTCTATTTAGAGATATGTTATACAAGTATTCGAACGGCAAAATAACAGAACACGAAACAATTACGATTGCTCGACACTATTCCTCGCACGAAAAGAAGGAATTCCGCACTCGTGAATATGTAAGGTAATCAAATTTGATATACAAATTTGTATATCTTTTCTGAACATATTTATTTCTTTATTTCTGTGTTATTGTATGTCCACAACTGTCACACATTTTTTTTTTGTAGAACCCTAATGCACACAGAACTCCTGCGATCGTTATGGAACGAGCTCGATCGATTGGAAGAAGATCTTCATCGATGCGACAGAGGAAGAACAGGATTTCTATCACGGGACACAATATATACTATACTCCGTGGATCCAGAATACCAGTTGACGTGGAGCTCATCAATTCTATGCTTGATCAGTATGTAAAGTGACGATATAAAAAAAAAATATATATATACATGTCGGATTGAGTAACCTCCTCCTTTTCGAAGTCGGTTAAAAATTAAACAAAAATTTTACGTCTCATTACAAAAAGTAATATTAATTAATATTGATTTCAGTATTCGTAGAAACGAGGAAGAGAAATTAGATTACAATGACTTGTTGCGATTCATGAACGTGAAAGTTGATCCACTACCTCCTGCAACACCTATTAATATTAAGGTATTTCTAAGGGGTATAGAGTGGTGGGGATGGTTTCAGGGCATTTGTGGGAGAGAAAGTGCATTTGTGGAGACTTTACTGTAAATAGTATTCCACGCGGGTTTATGCTAAATCAGTTAATTTTTAATTCGTAATTGATCGAAAATAGCTCAATAGCTTCTCTGTACGATAATCTTTAATATAATAATTTCCTATATAATAATTGTTCACTGCGGTTATTGTTAAATATATTTACGCAATTTCCAGACGGCACTTTGGTGGGCATCGGAGAAGGAACCTGATTGCGGCGCTGGAATAAACTGGTGCGCTTTCATCAAGGATTTAGATATCAAAGAGGAAGAGGGAGATCCAGATGGAAGTTCCAAAGCTCTAGACCAGAAATGTATCACACTGAATGATTGAGAAAAATGTATCGCGAAAAATGTATTCAAAATAACTTTTCTATTCTCTTTTCGACATAATCGTGATGATATTTTTAAAACATACCTATTCACGGCTCACGTGTGATTTTTATGCTACAAAAAACACCATCGACACTTTTGGGATGAATAAATACGCGCACTTTTCTATGTCAAGTAATATTTATTGTAGAATATAATTTGCATATAAACTACGTCAAATTTAGCAAATTATTTACATTGTACTAATCACGTTTATATCTAGCATGCGGCTAAAACAGTGTTGCCTGGCCTTGATCTTGTGAATTTATATTTTATCACCAGATCGCGAATACTCGATTATCTGTTTTTGTTCGGTGTCTCGATATGAAACTTTCTTACGTCGTTTTCATGGTTTTGAATCAGCTGACCGACAACACTGCGCTATATTCGCAACATTTGAAGACACGAAGTTCAATAAATAGCAAACGATATAAATAAGGGCCGTACGAAGTGTTATTATTAATCATGTTTTCGTAAATACTCTCGTCACGATTATTAACCCACTGTTCGTACACGTTTCGATGCAATTACGATGATCTCTAAAAACAGTTACAAATACAGGTTTCGTAATATCCCTCGATTTTTTTTCAAATTCTGACGACAATTAATCATACGATATACAGTCAGTCCTATAAGTATCCGTACCCTCTATCGCATCTATGTCTATTCAAGAAATTTGTCTCGATTTTCAAACAAACTTTTTATTATAAATATATCCATGTTTCAAGTTCATTCAGACAAAGCTTCGGTATTGCGTAAAAAA